TGCAGCTCAACTACTTGCTTAGGATGTAATTGGACTGTTATCCAAGTTGGGTGTTTTAATCCCTCAAAAAATATTTTATTGAATCACAATATGCTGTAAGTCAATTAAATAATTTCAAAACCTCTTTCAAATTCAAGAAGCAGCAAAGATTTTATTATCTACATTTTTTGAAGCTCCTGAATAATCGATTTCTTTCAACATCATGTGTATTCATAAGACAAAGCGTAGAAAGCTAGCTATTTTTATTCTAGCGATGGATTTACTCAAAGATAAAAAGTCACAGGGTGCCTGCATGGCGCAGTCAATTAAGCATCCGACTCTTGATTTTGGCTTAGGTCATAATCTCAGGGTCACGGGAACGGGCTCTGCGCTCAGCACTGAGTCTACTTAAGTTTCTCCCTCTCCCTCTGCCCGTCTCCCCACTCTTGATCTCTCTCTATCAAATAAGTAAATAAATCTTTTTTAAAAAGATTTAAAAGATAAAAAGTCGGGCGCCTGGGTGGCTCAGATGGTTAAGCGTCTGCCTTGGGCTCAGGTCATGATCCCGGGGTCCTGGGATCGAGTCCCGCATCGGGCTCCCTGCTAGGTGGGGAGCCTGCTTCTCTCTCTGCCTCTGCCTCTCTCTCTCTCTGACTCTCATGAATAAATAAATAAAACATTAAAAAAAAAAGATAAAAAGTCATGGAAGACCATGTGAGTCTTTTTGCAAAGTTGGTTAGCAACTTGCTACACCAAGCTATTTCTTATTTTGGAAAATTTCAAACATATATGAAGTAAATAGAAGAGTGTGATGAACTCCCATGTATCTATTACCCAGTTTTCACAGTTCTCTACCTTCCGCCATTGTCTCATATCCAGCACTTGCATCTCTCCACCCATGCCCCACCCCCCCCATCAGAGTTAAGTCACCTCATTAGATTAGTGCATGACTCTGGTTGCCTAGATCTGAGCCAAATAAAAGTATCAGAGACTTGGATCTGGTTTGCTTGTTGTGTTTATTCTCGTCATCTTCACAAACATAACTATTTTATCCAGTCAATGTAATCCATCTTCTTTGTGGCCACTGCTTAAATTTCATGACTTATAAGACCAAAGGGATTCTCTAATTATCCTCAATTAACTTGCATTTGCAAATACGGAGGATGTAGATAGGGCATAAAATCTACTAGCCGGTAGACCGAAAAAAGCATCTCGTTGTTGAAATGCTTAAGCCAGGTCTTATCTGAATCCCAGCTGTCTGATTGACTTCTGCTACAGTAAAAATAGTTTCAACAATACTTACTGCGTTTTAGGGAACTGTCTGTGCAGCCGGAGAGCAGATGGCTCCACAGAATCATTTTGTTTTGGACTCAGTCTCTTTTTGGAATTCTGCTGGTGAATTACTTTGCCAACTTGAACATATAACCCTCTTCTACCTTAAGTATCTCCATCTGTAAAATGGAGATGATGGTTATTAACAAGTTGCTTATGTCTTACACTTTGCTTAATGGTAGGAGAATCCTGATACCATAAGTGAAACAGAAACAGAACTTTAACTGTTTTCTAGAGAGGGAAACAAATCATGTGGGGCCATTGTATATCTCTCTAAAGTAAGTTGGAGCCCTTTGCAGGCTTTCCTTCTCCCCCTTGGTCCCCCTGAGTAGGCAGAAAGGGGACAGGGTTTTCTTTTCAAGCCTTGGGAAACTGAGACATGGAAGTGAGCCCTGTTGCCTGAGGCTTAGTGAGGCAGTGATGAAAATGGGAATAGCTGCCAGATCTTCTATCTCCAGCCCACTCTTACACTCACCTGTATTACTACTCTTCTAACAAAGACACAGACCTTGTAAAACTAGTTAATACTTGTGCATTAGATCTGCATTCACATATAGCCTCTGTGGATATTGTAAATGTTATACAGTATTGGGGAAATAATTCATCTACCACTGCAATGTGGAGTTGGTACAATTTCCCCTGGTATTGATATCTCATAACATTTGATGATATTAAGCACCCACTATGAGGTGCCGAGCACCAAAAAGAAGGACACACCTCTCCTCATGGAACTTAAATGGTCATAATAGAATGAAAGGTCAGAAGTGGTGTATTGGTGGGGCACCCGGGTGGCTCAGGCAGTTAAGCGTCCGACTCTAGATTTCGGCTCAGATCATGATCTCAGGATTGTGAGATCAAGCCCTGTGTAGAGCCCCACTTCCGACTCCATGCTGGACATGGAGCCTGCTTAAGAATCTTTCCCTCTGCTCCCCTTACCCCATGTGCATGCACACACACTCTCGCTCTCTTTCAAAAAGAAAAAAAATTAAATATTTACATAATTAAAAGAAGAAGAAGGAGGAGGAGGAGGAGAAGTGACATACTGGTTTCTGGGTTACCATGTCAAACAACCACAAACTTGGTGGCTTTAAATAACAGAATTTATTTTCTCACAGCTTTGGAGACCAGAAGTCCTAAACCAAGGTGTTGGCAGGATTATGCTTCCACCAAGGCCTCTAAGGGAGGATCCTTCCCTGCCTCTTCCAGCCTCTGGTGGCTGCAGGCCTTCCTTGGCTGTGGCCGCGTCCCTCTGGTCTCTGCCTCTGTCTTCACGTGGCCGTTTGTGTACATTCTTTTCTTTCATCCTCCCCCTCCTCCAATGTCATTGAGATATAATTGACATATAATGTTGTGTTTATGTGTACAACATTTTTCTTCTTATAAGGACACTGGTCATTGGGGTGGGGGATGGGTGAAATGGGTGAGGGTGGCCAAAAGGTACAAACTTCCAATTATAAAATAAAGTCATGGAGATATAATATACAGCATGGCAACTATGGTTAAAAATACTGTATTGTACATGTGAAAGTTGCTAAGAGAATAAACCTTGAAAATTTCCCATCACTGAGGTGCCTGGCTGGCTCAGTTGGTGGAGCATGTAATAAGTTCAAGTCCTACACTGGGTGTAGAGATTACTTAAAAATAAAATCTTAAGGGGTGCCTGGGTGGCTCAGTCAGTTAAGCGTCTGACTCTTGGTTTGGGCTTGGGTTGTGATCTTGGGGTTGTGGGATCAAGCCCCATGTCAGGCTCTGTGCTCAGCTTGGACTCTGCTGGAGATTCTTTCCCTCTGCCTCTCCTCTGTTCACTCATGTGTACTCTCCCTCTTTCTGTCTCTCTCTCAAATAAATAATAAATAAATAAATAACATCTTGAAAACAAAAAGTTTCTCCATCTCTGTTCTCCAGAAACATCCTCTCTTTTTCATCACTGTGACCTAGAAAGAGGAACTCACTATTACAGTTAGAGACTTCAACACCCCTCTCTCAGAAATGGACAGATCCAGCAGGCAGAAAAATCAGTAAGGACGTAGTTGAACTCAACAACATCATTAGTCAACGGGATATAATTGACATCTATAAATGACTGTATCCAACAATAGCAGAATATACATTTTTCTCAAGCTCACACAGAACACTCACCAAGACAGATCACATTCTAGGCCATAAAACACACTTTAACAAATTTAAAGAATAGCAATCATACAGTGTCGGTGTAACTAAACTAGAAGTCAGTTAAAAAAAAAAAAAAAAAAGACCGACCTTGGGCTTTCTGGTGACCAGCTCCATCACTAGGTCATTCATTAGCCTAAACTCAGATGTGCTCAAAAGGGGCCCCATGAGAAAAAGAATGAAAAGACATTCCTATCAGGAAATTCCACCAGTTTTAGCTCTGTGCCAGGAACCAGGGATGAAGACCAAATATATTTCTTATTATGCCATACAGACATTTACCAGTAGACATCCCTGATAGGCCTTGGCTATCACATTCAGCATATGTTCCGTGGCTAACAATATATGAAAAATAGATCAAGTCAACTTTCCCCATCCTCTTAAGAAGTGATGGCAGGTACTAAGCCTCTCTCCTAAGGTCATAATAAACACATTTATTAAATCTCTAATTGTGTGTGGTGCTATGCCATGCTAAATGATTCACAGAGAGAATTAGCTAACCTTGCCTCGTCTCTAACAGTTTAGAATCCAAGGCAGACAGGCTGATACGCATTCACATTGGGCACATTGGGCAGACAGAATGGAATGCAAACATTAAGTCAACTCATAAATGAACAAGATAAATGTTTCTCTCTTCTCCATCACCACATTCATTTATTACATAAGAATATACATGCTTCGTCATTGTTCCCTAAAATGTCAATATTTTGTCCATTCTCATTCTAAACCCTTACGCCTTCTAGAGTCACAGTGCTTGCAGTAATTTTATTCCTAAACACCCATCTGACTGCATTTCCTACAATAAAATAGGCTTTTCTTTTGAGCATTGTTGGAAAGATTTCCAAAACAGAGCTCTTTTGACCTCGCACTGAAGATTTTTGTTTCAACTGACTCAATTCTACTTGATTTTTATCTATTCTAACTCAAGGTAACTCTTGATTCAGAATGGCCTCTTTTATTTGAATAGTTAATATTTCATTTGACATTTGAAAAAACACTTTCTGTGAAATAGGACGAATCCTAGGTTAAGTTTAGACAGGATGGAAGGATAGATTAAGAGAGGAATGTTGGGGTGCCTGGGATCGAGCCCCACATCGGGCTCCCTGCTCTGTGGGAAGGCTGCTTCTCCCTCTCCCACTCCCCCTGCTTGTGTTCCCTCTCTCTGTCAAATAAATAAAATCTTAAAAAAAAAAAAAAGAGAGAGAGAGAAGAATGTTAGTCTTAAAGATACAGCATCTTGTTCAATGAGCCATAACTGAAGAAATATGTGCATGACCAATGTGCCAAACAATCGTGTTCGATTTTATTTTATTTTATTTTATTATTATTTTTTAAAGATTTTATTATTTATTTATTTATTTGAGAGAGAGAGAATGAGAGAGAGCACATGGGGGGGGCGGTCAGAGGGAGAAGCAGACTTCCTGCCGAGCAGAGAGCCCGATGCGGGACTCGATTCCGGGACTCCAGGATCATGACCTGAGCCAAAGGCAGTCGCTTAACCAACTGAGCCACCCAGGCGCCCTCGTGTTCGATTTTAAATAACAGTACTTCCTCCACTTACGATGGGGTTAAACCCATCATAAATTGAAAACACTGGGGGGGGAAAAAGAAAAAGAAAACATTGTAAGTCGAAAACGCACTTAAATGCATCTAATTTAGTGAACATCATAGCTTAGCCTAGCCTACCTTAAACATGCTCAGAACACTTACAGTAGCCTACGGTTGGGCAAAATCAACTAACACAAAGCCTATTCTATAACAAAGTGTTGACTATCTCAGTAATTTACTGAATGTTGCACTGAAAGTGACAAACAATGGTTGTATGGGTGCAGACTGGCTGTCAGTGTATCAGTTGTTGACCCTTCATGGTGTGGCTGACTCTGAACTGCAGCGGCCCAACATCAAGAGAGGATCCCAGGGACTGTGGATAGATCACTAGCCAGGGATAAGATCCAATCCAACATTCAAAGTACGTTTCGACTAAATACGTTATCTCTTTGCTTCATCCTAAAGTTGAAAAATCCTAAGTCAAACCATTGTAAATCAGGACCATCTGTACTTACAATCTCATGTATTTTTGATTAATTATCATTAAGATCTTGGGGCACCTGACTGGCTCAGTAGGTAGAGCATGGGACTCTTCATCTTGGGAATGTGAGTTCCAGCCCCATGTTGCATCTAGATATTACTTAAAAAAAAAATAAAAACTTTAAAAAAATTATTGTTAAGATCTTGCCTCTTTTGGCTTTTTTATTTTTTCCTCCTGTATCAAGACCCTTTAGTTGCAAGGACAGAGCAGAAGCGGACAGAGCAGACAGCAGCCTCAAGCTCTGAAGCCACATCTTTTAACTTCCCTGGTTAGTGGGAAACAGTTGAAACAAATATCCAGGACTGAGTCTGATTGGTCTAACCTGGGTCTTGTGCCCATCGCTGAACCAATCACTGTGGCCAGAGAATAGGGGCAGGCCATTGGCTGAAAGTGGGACTGACTCCGCCTAACCACATGGCAGGGAATTTCCCACCACATCTGAAGACTGTTAAATACACAGATCCTGGGGGGCGCCTGGGTGGCTCAGTTGGTTAAGCGACTGCCTTTGGCTCAGGTCATGATCCTGGAGTCCCTGGATCGAGTCCCGCATCGGGCTCCCTGCTCAGCGGGGAGTTTGCTTCTCCCTCTCCCACTCCCCGTTTGTGTTCCCTCTCTCGCTGTGTCTTTCTCTGTCAAATAAATAAATAAAAAATCTTAAAAAAAAAAAAAAATACACAGATCTTGGGGTGCCTCAGTCGTTAAGCGTCTGCCTTCAGCCCAGGTCATGATCCCAGGGTCTTGGAATCGAGCCCCACATCGGGCTCCCTGCTTGGTGGGAAGCCTGCTCCTCCCTCTTCCACTCCCCCTATCTCTCTCTCTCTGTCAAATAAATAAATAAAATCTTAAAAAAAAAAAAAATACATGGATCCTTCCCTGACGCCTTCCTTAGTTTCCTTTTCAACTACATGTATTGTAGTGACACCTAAAGAACAGAGTTCTTGGAATTTGCTCTTGACCCTTTAATCTGTGGGTGTGAATTTAAAGTCCCAAAGCCAGAAACTCCAAACCTTAGATTTGAGAAAACAAAACAACAACAACAAAACACGTTTCAAGGCATCCGAAAAAATTATCTTTCAGATGGCTTACGTGCCTGGCTGAGTGAGAAACGTGTAGTTTCTAAGTTAGGCAAACCAGTGCTATCAAAAATGTTAGCAGGTAGGTAGGGGCTGGCTGGCTCCGTTGGTGGAAAATGCTACTCCTGATCTCTGGGTTGTAAAATCGAGCCCCAGGTTGGGTATAGAGATCACTTAAAAATAAAATCTTTAGAAAAAAATGTTAGCAGGTAAATGATATAATCCAAGTTTTTTCATTTGTTTATGTAAATGATGACCCATCATTGAGTTTTTCAGTTTGTAGTACTTAATAAGAAAAAAGAGTCCAGATATGTTGTAAATCCTGGCTTTTCAAAATTCTTGCCCAACCTCTAAAGCACTGCTCTCTAAATCTTATTTCATATCTGAGAATAGAAATATCCTGGAGAGGGGCGCCTGGGTGGCTCAGTCGTTAAGCATCTGCCTTTGGTTCAGGTCATGATCCCAGGTGAGCATCTGCCTTCGGCTCGGGTCATGATCCCAGGGTCCTGGGACCGAGCCCCGAGCCCCGCATCAGGCTTCCTGCTCAGCGGGAAGCCTGCTTCTCCCTCTCCACTCCCCCTGCTTGTGTTCCCTCTCTCGCTGTGTCTCTCTCTGTCAGATAAATAAATAAAATCTAAAAAAAAAAAAAAAAGAAAGAAATATCCTGGAGAAAAAGAAAAAAAAAAAAAGAAATATCCTGGAGAGTTGACCTGATAGGAAGCATGTTTTAGTTGTCTGATCTGATAGCACTGTTTACCTCTACTCTTCTCAGAAGAGAAGGTAGCAAAGATTAGGATACCTTTGGAAAATATCAAAATCCATCTTCACTGTAGAACCACTTTGGCGGGGAAATAGGATTATCTTAAGCAGAATGATCTTGCTTGGAGAGAGTCAATGCTTTTTTCTTTTAATATTTTCTTTCTTTTTCTTTCCTCTTTCCTGCTTACAAAACAAAAACACATTAATTGTGGAAAATATAGAGAAACATACAAAGGGAAATTACGATCACTCACAATTCCACTATTGGGGAATAACTACTAGCATTTTATGCATATCTTTTGACGACTACAATAGCAATAATTAACATTTACTGAATCCTTCAAATATGCTAGCCACGATGCTATGCATTGGAACATGGATGTTCTCACTGAGTTTCATCCTTGAGCACCAGGGTGGCTCAGTGGGTTAAGCATCTGCCTTCTGCTCAGGTCATGATACTGCGGTCCTGGGATGGAGCCCTGCATCACTCCCCCTGCTCAGCTGGTCGCTGCTTCTTCCTCTCCCTCTGTGCGCTCTCTCTCTCTCTCTCAAATAAATAAATCTTAAAAAAAAAAAGAATTTCATCTTTATAGCCATTCCATGAGGGGCATACTATTATTATCCCTTTTACAGAGGAAGGAACCTGACTTTTTAATGCTGTAGATCTTTTTCTTTTTTAATTTGGTATTGTAGTGTGCATATTATTTTTTTATTTAAAAATATATCATGGACATTATTCCAAGTCATTAAATATTTTCTACCCAAAAAACAATTTGGCTGCACCTGTATTCTTCCTAGGCATGAAGCATAACTGATGTCTAATTTCCTATTGATGGACTTTAGATAGCTCTCAATTTTTGGTTATAATAACACTAAAAATGAATCACATATTTATAAATCATCATGAATATTCATGGATATCCTCTAAGGTCAAATACTCAGAAAGAGAATAATGGAGTCAAAGAATATAAACATTTTTTTAAGGAATTATATGTATTGCTCAATTTGTCCAGGGAAAACTTGTATCAGTTTGCATTCTTAGCAGTCTTGTAAAGAAAAGCCCTGATTCCCTGGATCTTGATTAGCACTTACTTATCAATTTATTTAAATCTTGGTCAATATCGTATCTAAATGATGGCATCTTTCATGTTTTGATTGCATATCTTTTAGTTTTGGTAGAGTTGAATATTTTTTTCATCAAGCCAAATATTTTAGTGACTATATATTTGAAGGGCAAATGAATCTTGTAATGGATAAATAGGCCTTTGATCTTGAATGATTTGGAACTTTTTAAAAATTTTCATTTATTATTATTATTTTAGTAATTTCTACACCCAACATGGGCCTTGAACTCACAACCCCGAGATCAAGAATCTGATGCTCTTCCAACTGAGCCAGCCAGGTGCCCCAGGACTGACTCTTGAATATGAAAATTAGCTCCTATAACTGTCAAATCTTAAATAACTGTATTTTCGAATATCTTCTAAAATATATGGACATCTCTTAAGAGTTTTTTCCTTTTTATTGTCTGTTGAATATATCAGACTCTCGTTCTTAATAAATAGAATTCTTCTACCCTGCTAATGGCATTTGCTTCTCCAAGAAGCAAGTAGCTCAGGGACAGGTTATGCTGGATTCTATGAGCAGTGGGAAAAGTTAAAGAATTAACAATTCTACTTCTAGGGATATACCCAAAAGAATTTAAAACAACTACTCAAACAAAAGCTTTTTCATGAGTGTTAATAGCAGCACTATTCACAGCAGCCAAAAAATGTATATAACCCAAAAGTTCATCAATTGATGGATGGATACATAAATTGTGATATACATATACAATGGAATATTGTTCAGGCATAAAAAGGAAGTACTGATACATGTTACAATGTGGCTGAATCTCAAAAACATTATGTTAACTGAAAGAAGCCAGACACAAAAGGTTACCTATTGGGTTGTGTTTTTTTTAAGATTTATTTATTTATTTGAGAGAAAGAGAGCGAGCAGGTGTGCACATGTGTGGAGTGGAGGGGCAGAAGGAGAGGGAGAGGAAGTCCCAAGCAGATTCTGCGCTATGCACAGAGCTTGATGCAGGCTCGATCTCACAACTCTGAGATCATGAAAAGGTCACCTATCGTATGAGTCCATTTATATGAAATGTCTAGAACAGATATATCTGTAGAGACAGAAAGCAGATTAGTGGTTTTCAGCATCTGAGGGGAGCTAGGAATGGGGAGAAATTGCTTAACATTTATGAGGTCTCCTTTTGAGGTGATGAGGATGTTTTGGAACTAGGTAGATAGAGGTGGTGATGACACAACATTGTGAATGTACTAAGGGCCACTGAATTGGTCACTTTAAAATGTTTCATTTCATCTCAATTTTTTTTTTTAAGTAGGCACCATGCCCAACATGGGGCTTGAACTAATAGCTCCAAGAGCAGGAGTCACATGCTGTACCGACTGAGCCATCAAGCAGCCCCTTCATCTTAACTCTAAAAAATAAAATAAGTAGGGACCCTTGTGTGGTCAGTCGATTAAGCATCTGCCTTCGGCTCAGGTCATAATCCCAGGGTCCTGGGGTCGAGTCCCGCATTGGGCTCCTTGCTCAGCGGGGAGCCTGCTTCTCCCTCTGCCTGCCGCTCCCCTTGCTTGGGCTCTCTCTCTCTGACAATAAATAAATAAAATCGTTAAAAAAAAATAAAATAAAATAAGTAAATAAAAAGTCTTTCTTTTCATTCTGGCCCTGTCAAAAGTTTGGTAAGCCCTTCGATATACTAGTGTTATTACCGTACTATAGTATAGTATACATCCAAACTATCTTCTTTTCCCTATCATATTTCTACTCTCAATACTTATTTACATGTAGAAAATTATTGGCATGATGTTTTCCAACTTAGTTTTCTCCTTAATTCTTTCTCTGGAAAAAAATAAGTAAATTGTAATCTATGTTCTTAGGATAATTTGTACTTGGAAAGGAAGAATCAAATCCAGAAGTTTACCATTTTTTTCCCTATTACCCTAGAATGGCTGTAGTGAAGATTAGTTGAAAATTTACATTCCGGGCGCCTGGGTGGCTCAGTTGGTTAAGTGACTGCCTTCGGCTCAGGTCATGATCCTGGAGTCCCGGGATCGAGTTCCGTATCAGGCTCCCTGCTCGGCAGGGAGTCTGCTTCTCCTTCTGACCCTCCCCCCTCTCATGCTCTCTCTCTATCTCATTCTCTCTCTCAAATAAATAAATAAATAATCTTAAAAAAAAAAAAGAAAATTTACATTCCAAAATGGATGCATTATCAACAGGGGAAACAAATGAACTGTTCAATCATCTCTCCAAGACCTGTGCTTGGCACCAGTTTGCCAAAAGTATTTTTGGAGGAGGCAGGAAAGGCAAGGATGTTTATCGTTTGTGCAAAAGATATTAATGATCAGGTCTATAATTTTGAAGGTAACCCTAAATCCATGTGGGAAAGGCCCCTAGGTTTGATATTAGTCTCCCCTCCTTCCTCCTCTGCATATCCTACCCACTCCCTGCCCATTCCTCAAATCTGGTCTACTTCCTTCCCACCCTGAATGATCCTGAACAAAGAGCATTCAGGAAATATACTGGAGAATGAATAAGTGAGGGCAGATGTACCAAATAAGTGTTGAAGACTGTTGTTCCATCAATTCTGGGGAGGAAGAAATCATTCCAGCTGGGGTGATCGGGCAAGGCTTCAACTCCAGTATATCTAGGCTTCTGATCTTGACATAACCTGACCCATCTGCTTGTTCTTATAGTTGTCCTCATGACTTCTCCTGCAGATTCTGAGATGGAATCACACTTCAGGTAAAACCAGAGAAAGTCACCGCTTTATCTTTCAAACTGACACCCTTCCTAACTAGTATATCACAGCTGATGAAAGTGCTCCCAGACCCCTAGGCTTAAGTTTTTAAGTTTGGGGAATAATTTAACATTCTTCTTGATCATCACTAACCCATTGTAATATCTTCCTTCAAAATATCTTCAAATCCCCCTTTCTTTCCATTTGTCTTTTTTTTTTTTTTAAGAGAGAGAGAGAGCATGCACACAAGTGGTGGGCAGGGGCAGAGAGAGAGGAGAGAGAGAATCCCAAGCAGCCTCCACACTTAGCGCAGAGCCTGACTCAGGCCGACTTTATGACCCTGCCTGAGATCAGGCAGGACCTGAGCTGAAATCCTAGTCAGATGCCTAACTGACCAAGCCACCAGGTGCCCCTCCATTTCTATCTTTTTTTTTTTTAATATTTATTTATTTGACAGAGAGAGATAGCGAGAGAAGGAACACAAGCAGGGGGAGAGGGAGAGGGAGAAGCAGGCTTCCCACGGAGCAGGGAGCCCGATGCGGGGCTGGATCCCAGGACGCCGGGATATGACCTGAGCCGAAGGCAGACGCTTAACGACTGAGCCACCCAGGCGCCCCTCCATTTCTATCTCTTAAAGACAAATGATATAAATACTGACTGCTGTTTATAGAAACTTGGAAAAATATATATGTGTGTGTGTGTGTGCTATGGACTGAATGTGTCCCCCCCCGATTCATATGTTGAATTCCTAAACCCTCAATGTGACTGTATTTGGGATAGGGCTTTTAGGGAGTAATTAAGGTTAAGTGAAGTCATAAGGCTGAGGCCCTAATCTGATATGATTGATGGGAGAAGAAGGAGAAGAAGAAGAAGAAGAAGGAGAAGGAGAAGGAGAAGAGAAAGAAGAAGAAGACAGATAACCCTATTCCCATCCCTGGCCATGTGATGACAGCAAGAAGGCAGTCATCTGCCAGCCAGGAAGAGTGCTTTCACCAGAGACTGAATTGGCTGGCACCCTGATCTTGGACTTGCCAGTGTCCAGAACTGTGAGAAAATAAATTTCTATTGTTTAAGCCCCTGAGTTTATGGTATCTTGTTATGGCAGCCCAAGCTAGTACAACATGTAAGAAGAAGATTGGTATTATTCCAGAATCTTTTAACCCAAAAGATAATTGGTAACACCATTTTTTCCCAGATTTTCTTTTTCTTTCTCATCCAACAACTATCTTTGAGTCTTGGACACTTGCCTTCTCATGCTTTCCCCTTCTTCCCAAATTACAGCTCTCTTATTGGGCTTAAAGTGTTCCCCTTAATCAAATTCACCCAGCTCTGCCTATACTCAAGGCCTTTCTTGTCTGGATTCCTTTAGTATGAGGCCAGAAATCTTCTTGTTCAAATCCCTGCAAGAGCATAAATCAACACTAGTATTTATTGCTTTAAAATAAAGTTGCAGGGACACCTGGGTGGTTCAGTCAGTTAAGCATCTGCCTTTGGCTTAGGTCATGATCCCAGTGTCCTGGGATCAAGTCCTGCATCGGGCTCCCTGCTCAGCAGGGAGCCTGCTTTTCCCTCTGCCTGCCGCTCCCCCTGCTTGTGCTCGATCTCTCTTTCTCTGTCAGATAAATAAATAAATAAATCTTTAAAAAAGCAAAAACAACAACAAAATAAAATTGCAACAATTTGTGTTGATTAGGAAAATGCCTGTCTGAATTAGTGAAAAGTCTGAATTATGACATTTGTTTTAATTAATTAATTAATTAATTTTTAGAGGGAGAGCATGAGTGAGGTGGCACAGAGGGGCAGAGGGAGAGGGACAATCTCAAGCAGTTTCCCCGCTGAGCATGGAATCTGTTGTAGGGCCTGATCCCACAACCCTGACTGAGATCATGACCTTGAGACCATGACCTGAGCTGAAATCAAGAGTCGGATGCTTAACCGACTGAGCCACCAGGTGCCCCCTGAATTATGATAATTTGAAAGAGATGTGATTTTTAGCACATTCGAATCTGTGCAATACCTGAATAAGCCAAACAAAATTCAGGGAAATTGAAATTCTTGAAATCTTGCTTTTATGAATAGATAAATATGATTTCCCTTGCATTCGATAACAAGTTTATGTTTGTATAGTGCTTTATTGTTTCCAAAGTGCTTTGCCTTTGTTATTTATTTTGATCCTCAGTCTCAGAAGTAGGGGAGGCAGGTATTATATTTTCCACTGTACAGGAAATAAAGCTAGTGATTCACTTGGAAAGTCAAAAGTCACCCATCTTATCAGTTTTTTAAATCCAATAACAGGAGGGCACCTGGGTGGCTCAGTCGTCAAGCGGCTGCCTTCGGCTCAGGTCGTGATCCCAGGGTCCTGGGATCAAGCCCCGCATCAGGCTCCCTGCTCCATGGGAAGCCTGCTTCTCCCTCTCCCACTCCCCCTGCTTGTGTTCCCTCTCTCGTGTCTCTCTCTGTCAAATAAATACATAAAATCTTTTTTAAAAATTCAGTAACAGCTAAAAATTTATTATGGTTTACTAAGTCCTAGGCACTATTCTAAGCACTGTACATGTTTCTTCTTATTTAATGCTTATAATAACCCCTGAGGTTTATACTGTTTTTATTCCCATTTTATGGACAAGAAAACTGAGGCACAGAGGATTCAGTAACTTGCCCAAAGTCTCATGACAGTAAGTGGTGGGGGGCTGGGTTCAAACCCAGGTCATCTGTTTATAGGGCCCATACTTCTACACAGGTTCTGAAAAGTGGTAGGCTCATAACAGATATTTCAGAAGGGCAGAGATGTTGTATTTCAAATAGGTCAGGAGGAACCTACTATGGCCTGGTTTGCATGGTTCATTTACCTAGAATTCCTTCCCATGCAGTGAGAGAAGAATACTCAGAATTGATTGTCCAAATAAATGCAGGATCCGTGGACCCTTTGTTCATGATGTTTAACTGTACTCTATGTGTAATACTCTGCATTTCTCATAAGTCACTTGCACTCATGTGACAATTTTGTTTCCCTAGTTAGATTGCAAGCATCGAGGTACAGATCTTAATGTCTGGTTTCTTGCCATCCAATATAGTGCTGTGTTTAAAATTGTTTTTTATCCCATTGAGAGCAAACAAGGTAGGAAATAGGAAATAAAAAATCTGGGCTGTATTCTGCCACCAAATAGCCGAGTGATCTCCAGGCCTCGTTTTCCTCAATGTCTAGGCCTTGAGTTAATTTTGAGAAGATCACCAGAATGTAGCTTTTGTTAGAAGATGCAGAGTCCATATACATTTTTTATTGTGGTAAAATTCACATGACATAAAATTCACTATTTTTACCATTTTAAAGTATACAATTCAGCAGCACTTAGTATATTCACTATGTTGGGCGACTCTCAGCACTGTCTGGTTCCAGAACATTTTCATCTGGATATGGAATTATACGGAACAGCTAAATCCATAGAAATAGAAAGTAGATTAGTGGTTGTCAGGGGCTGGGGGAGGGGGGAATGAGGAATGACTGCTTAATGGGCACAGGGTTTCCTTTGGGGGTGATGAAAATGTCACTGAACTATTCACTTAAAATGGTTAATTTCAGGGTGGTTCAGTCAGTTGGGTGTCTGACTCTTGATTTAGGCTTGGTTAGTGATCTCAGAGTTGTGGGATCAAGCCCGGGGGCTCACTCCATGCTCAGCAGGGAGTCTGCTTGTCCTGCTCCCTCTGCTACTCCCCTGCTGGTGCTCTCTCTCTCTCTCTCAGTCTCAAATAAATAAATAAAATCTTCCAAAAAATGGTTAATTTCATGTGATGTGAATTTCACCTCAATTTTTTAAAAAAGAGAGAGAAATTAAATGTAGCCTTGTCCAGGCAGTGGTAAAGCACTTCAAATGAAGACAGAGATGATTTAGATCAGTTAATGGGATAGACTCCACATGAGACCCAGCCTGATGCCCCAGTTGCATCTACCATGCTGGACTCCTAGATTTTTTTTTTAAGAGGGAAGTTTACTTTTTTTTTTTTAAGATTTTATTTATTTGAGAGAGTGAGCAAGCCAGAGAGCAGGAGAAAAAGAGATCACAAGCAGAGGGAGAGGGAGAAGCAGACTCCCCACTGAGCAGGGAGCCCGATGCGGGGCTCGATCCCAGGACCCTGGTTTCATGACCCAAGCTGAAGGCAGACGCTTAACTGACTGAGCCACCCAGGTGCCCTTAAGTGTACAATTCAATTAATATTTTTAAATTGAGTTCAAATACACATAACAAAATTCACCATTTTAAAATGTACAATTCAATGGCATTTAGCACATTTACCACGTTGTGCAACCACCGTCTCTGTCCAGTTCCAAAATATTTTCAACCCCCCCCCAAAGGAGTGACTAAGCAGTCACTCCCCTTTCTCCCTACCCCCAACCTCTGGAAGCAACCACTCTGCTTTCATCTCTGTGGATTTGCCTGTTTTGGACATTTCATAAAAATGGAATCATTTGTGTTTGCTTCTGTGACGTAGCATCATGTTTTCAGGGCTCATCCATGTCAAAACATGTATGTATCAGTGCTTTGTTCCTTTTTATGGATGACTAATAGTCCATCACATGGACAGACCACATCGTGCTCATCCATTCACCAGGTGTTGGACATTTGGACCGTAAGTGTCTTTTGGCTATTGTGAATGGTACTGCTGTGAACATTCTATTCATGTACAAGTTTTGCAGGAAACGTGTGTTTCTCTTGGGTGTGTACCTAGGAGTGAAATTGCTATGCCATATGGTAACTCTATGTTTAGCTTTTTGAGGAACTGCCAGACTTTTCCATTCCCACCAGTCACGCACGAGTGTTCCAATTTCTCCCCACCCTTGCCAACATTTGTTATTGTCTGTCTTTTTGGTTATAGCCCTCCTAGTGGGTGTGAAGTGGAGTCTCATTGTGGTTTTCCCTATTTATGGCTCATCTGAACTACGCTGTGACTTCCGTGAGGGCCTGAGCTGAATTTGTCTCACTCGTCACTCTTTTACCAGTGTCTGGCTGAGTGCCAGTATGTGCTAGACGAGAGCAGACTATGTGGTGAATAAAAGAATCAATAGCCATTGTTATTTACGTTGTAGTCTTTCTAGATATCTCCTCTGGCATTCATAAGTTTTGCCAGGGGCCGGTCAGAAACATTGGTAAACATAAAGCAGTTAATAAAAGGAATGATGTTAAAAGTGTTAAAGTTCCCAAAGCTAGTTTTCATTTCATACATTCCTTATACTGATATTAATATTGCTTTTGGGAGAATTCTAAATTTTCTTTTGCTGATTGAAGACTTATCAATAATACTCTTGTCTATGTGATATTGATTGGGTTGAACAACAGCTTTCCCGAATGCCTGTCCCAAGGGCTACACCTCTCCAGGGCTGGAGGGTGAGTATCCAGGCTGTAAACACATCGCATAGATTAGTCTACCTTTAGTACACTCTCTGAACAGATTAATCACATCATTTCTCTGGGATAATGGCTTTCTTCTCTGAAACCTTTCTCCTTAAAGATGTTCATTCTTTTACTCATTCATTGACAAAATGAAAATGCTGAAGAAGTGTTTCCTTCCCTTCTCTCCTTTCACACACAGTGAATAAAATACCTGTTCCATGGGCGCCTGGGTGGCTCAGTTGGTTAAGCGACTGCCTTCAGCTCAGGTCATGATCCTGGAGTCCCTGGATCGAGTCCTGCATCGGGCTCCCTGCTTGGCAGGGAGTCTGCTTCTCCCTCTCCCTGTCTCCGTTTGTGTTCCCTCTCTCGCTGTGTCTTTCTCTGTCAAATAAATAAATAAAATCTTAAAAAAAAAAAAAATACCTGTTCCAAGAACTTAAGACGAACAGGATATTAGAAACTTTCTCTCGCAACTTAATTGCTTTTGTGGTTCAAGGCCATTAGGAGCCTAAAAGTAAAGAATGGAAAAATCATGCAGTTTTTAAGATTGAATGAGTAATGCTCAGAAGTTCTGGAAGCTCATGGGAAAGATGACCTCCAGTGCTTTGGCTGGGAAGCATGAAACTACTCTGAATTTTCCGATAAACCCAGCTTGACAAGGATCAGTTAATCATTCCCTCAAGCTTTAGATCAAGTAGACACTATATCCTGAACTCTCGTCGAGATAGGTGTGTTCTTAAACACTAAATAAGACATAGTATGGATATGTTTCCAATTCGTTCTGATCAATCTCTGAGACTCCAAAGTTAAGTTCTGACTTTGACTTCTATTATTAGAAGTTTTATTCACAGCTGGTCACAATATGAAGTGAGATGTATTTGGAGGAAAGAATTAAAAAGGAATGAAGATGCTAAATCTAAAATTATTAAATTTAGGTCATGCTATGGACTACATTTTGTGCCCCCCAAAGTCACCTGTTGATGCTCTAACTCCCCATGTGAAAGTATTTGGAAGTAATTAAGGTTAGATGAGGTCATGAGGGTGGGGCCCTCATGATAGGATAAGATCCTTATACGAGGAGACACCGGAGAGTTCTATTTCCTGTCTTGAGCTAGCCTTATGCTTCAGCTAATAGAATGTGGCAGGAGTACTGATGTGGGCCCCACGGAGCTGAGAACTCTAGGGTGCACTTGTCTCTACTTTCTGGCACACATGAGAACGTTCTCTGGGGTAGCCTGCTAGAGGAGGAGAGACACATAGAGCCACACCAGGTGTCCCAGTCACAGCCGTTCCAGAACATCCAGTGATCGAGCTCCAGCAAGATTAGCAGAGCTCCTAGCCTACCACCTCAGATGTGCTTCTTATTCTACATTGGAGGTTTTATAGTTGTTATCTTGGTGCAGTTGGGAACTATACACTACCACTCTTTGGCACTGGATGTTCATCAAACATCAGAGATCCAGAAACTCTTGCAAACTAAAATGCATGCAATTCTTACATCAAGGAATTAACATCCTGCGAAGAAGGAAAAGCAATGAACAATAGTTTCTGTTTCTATTACTGAAAGCAGCCACTTCTACTGGAAACTGCCATTTAGTCAAGTATTGAGAGTGAGTCAGGGTATCCTCAAAGAAATGAAAATGATGAGTGCAAAATGTACTCATATACTTATGAAAATTACATAATATATCTTCCGCATTAGCACTAAGAGATACGTGAAGTGGGTTCAAGCAAACAAATGATGACAGTTGACAGGAGAACTGTAAACTCACCCCCAGCTAATTCATTTGTTTATTGATCCTTCCAGTTGCAGATGGTGATGTTTCCTTTGGATGAAGTAAGAGGTCCAGAGACAGCAATGCGAGTTTCTTTCCCCAGAGAGTGAGGTCAATTCAGGTCATGAGCTTTGAGAAACTGGAATGTTACCTTGGGTCTGGAAATACTTAGTGATGCTTGTCAGGCTAGCGATCAAGTTTCCCCAGCAGCTCAGTTAATGACGCAGAACTTTCTGTATTAATTGAGCCCTGAGACTTGACATGACTCTCTCAAAGTCGGGGCTCATTTTATTCATTAGGAGAAATTTTCTTCCCTCGCAGCTGGATTTTCTTGGATTATCAAAAAAGAGATTGTTCATGCATGTACACAGGAGACCTGGTTCACACATTACATTTTCCTTGCTCAGGGCAATCAGAGCAATGATCTATTTCCTCTAACAAGATGTCTTCAATGGGCACCTGGGTCGCTCAGTTGGTTAAGCGACTGCCTTCAGCTCTGGTCATGATCCTGGAGGCCCAGAATCGAGTCCCACATCGGGCTCCCCGCTCAGTGGGGAGTCTGCTTCTCCCTCTGACCCTCTCCCCTCTCATGTTCTCTCTCACTCTCTCTCTCTCTCTCAAATAAATAAATAAAATCTTAAAAAAAAAGATGTCTTCGAAATGTACAACCACCACAGTTAGAGTTTGTCATTTTCAGAAGTTTTGGAACTGATCAGCAGGTAAAGCCTGTGTTCTGTGGCTTTCTCATCTGTCGTGGGAGCTGCAGATGATATGCCGGCACTTAGCTGCTGGAGAGCTACAGTCTAATGAGCAATGGGGAATGTTGGTTCTACTTGGCACACGTCTACTTGGGGTGTGCAGTGTTCAGAGATATAGAAAATCATGAGTACAGTCATCCATTTACTCAAAATAACTTAAAACATCTTCGATAATGACTCAGTTCTTTCATAGTCATGACACTGCTAATCATGACTCCTGATTAAAAACAAGCTGAGTTCCTGATGCTCATTAAGGTGCAGAGGCCACCCTCGTTCATTGCTGGTGGGAGTGTGAAATAGTGCAGCCACTGTGGAAAAGAGTCTGGAAGTTCCTAAAAAAGTTAAACACAGAGTTACCATATGATCCAGAAATTCCACACTCCTAAGTATATACCCCAAAGAATTGAAAACATCTGTTCATGCAAAAATGCGTACATGAGTGCTCACGGCAGCATGATTCACAATAGCCAAGTGGTGGAAACAACCCAAATGTCCATTGACAGATGAACAGATTAATACAATGTAGTCTACCTTTACAATGGATTATTATTCAGCTGTGAAAAGGAATGAAATACTGTCATATGCTACGACCTGGATGAACCTCAGAAACCTTAGGCTAAACGAAAGCAGCCAACACAAATGGCCACAGATTGTATGGTTTCATTTATATGAAGTGTCCAGAATACACAAATCTATAGACACAGAAAGAGGATTAGTGCTTGCCAGGTGTTGGGGAGAGGGGGACCAGGGAGTGACTGCTAATGGCTCTGGGGTTTCATTTTGGGGTCATTAAAATATTCTGGAATTAGATGTTCTGGAATTAGATGCTTGCAGATTCTTTTCCCATCCAATCCAAACCTTTCACGGTTAATATGACTAGCTCAAATTCTAGGGAAGACAGGTTGCCTGAATCACAGAGATATTTAGTTTTCAAGGCCTAGACTAGATCCTGGGGGCTCTGATTCCTAGGCCAACTTTATTCTTGTTTCATCAATCATGACCACATTTGAATCACATTTTCTCTGATGGGCAGGAGAGTATTTGGTGACTGGGAAGTAAGGGGGACAGTCACTAAATAACACATAAGATGAGATAAAGGCTCATATAGGAACAAATCAAGAAGTCTGAAGGTTTTTTTGAGGCCTAAACAGGTTTGGCACGATAAGTTGCTTTTAGTATTTTTAATTATTATATATTAATAAAGATGATTTTGGTTGCAAGAGCCAAAAACCTTTCTCAATCAAGTTAAAGTAAAAAGCAAACAAAAGCCCTAAACCAAACTGACAAATATTTGTTAATTTTTTTTTAAAGATTTTATTTATTTATTTGACAGAGAGAGAGAGTGAGCACAAGCAGGGGGAGCAGCAAGCAGAGGGAGAGAGAGAAAAGCCTCCCCGCCAAGCAAGGAGCCCGATGCAGGACTCCATCCCAGGACCCTGGGATCATGACCTGAGCCGAAGGCAGACACTTAACCTGACTGAGCCACCCAGGTGCCCCAAACATTTGCTAATTTTTGTAGTTGGGTGATTATCTGCTAGGGAAGCTGATACCATTGAAGAATGAGCTGAAGAACTATGATCTTAAGGTAGAAACAGGAGTCAATGGACCATAGCTGTTTCTTTCTTCTTCTTGTTTTTTTTGTAGTTTTTAATTTTATTATGTTATGTTAGTCACCATACAATACATCATTAGTTTTTGATGTAGTGATCCATGATCCATTGTTTTCGTATAACACCCAGTGCTCCATGCAGTACGTGCCCTCCTTAATACCCATCACCGGGCTAACCAATCCCCCCTCCCCTCTAAAACCCTGTTTGTGGGCGCCTGGGTGGCTCAGATGGTTAAGCGTCTGCCTTCGGCTCAGGTCATGGTCCCAGGGTCCTGGGATCGAGTCCCGCATTGGGCTCCCTGCTCCTTGGGAGCCTGCTTCTCCCTCTGCCTCTCTCTCTCTGTCTCTCATGAATAAATAAATAAAATCTTTAAAAAAAAAAAAATAAAACCCTGTTTGTTTCTCAGAGTCCATAGTCTCTCATGGTTCATCTCTCCCTCCAATTCCCCCCGCCCATTTATTTCTTTCTCCTCTCCCACCCACCTCAATTCTGCTCGGTTCTGTTTCTCTTTGCAAATTGGTGTTCTCTCTTCCTACAGGTAGCGTTCCCCCCCTCCCCACCCCGGTGGCAGGGAATATGGCATCAACAGCCCTGCCTGGCAACCCCAAGAGAAAGGGGATCTTTTTTCTCCGCAGTCCATACAGCAAAACCAGAGAAGGATCTGATTTGCTCTGCTAGGGCCACATGCCCATCCCCATATTCAGAAGGGCATGTTCTGTAATTTTGTTCAAATCAAAGACAACACAGTTTGGGGGATGATAGTAGAGAATGCTCAACAGACAAAATAAATAAACCAAAGTCCACAAGTTACAAATCCTTGCTTCTTTTATTGACTTGGAGGCTGCTTTGAAATGTCAAAGGTGAAGAAGACAGCATTCAATTTTCATAAAGTAAGGGAGGTCAACCACACTTCTATAATAGCACAACCTTCCTAGTCTCCCGGAGACAGAGACTGACTCATCAGGGATTTTTGACTCGTGACCTATGCTACCTTTTTTTCCCTCTATGAGGTCACGTAACTATTCTGTATATTCGCTGCTGTATCCCTAGGACTTAGCACAATGTCTGGCACATAACAGGCAC